CAAAGACGAGCGCTTAAAAAGGATAGGCAGGGTCAGACCCTCAGATGTGCGAGGATTCTCCAACGATAGACATGTACGTGTGCTGATCTTTGTAATTATAAATTGTGAATACATGTGACTAATATTATTTTATTTTTTATTTTGTGCATGTTACAAGTTATAAATAAATATAAACAAACAACACTAACTCTATAACATTAACTCTAAATGCCAAAATGATTAATTTACTGTGTTTTTGTTGTTTATTATTCCTGTTTTTAGGTATTCGGTATTTGGCCGAATAGTGATTAAATATTCGGTATTCGGCCGAATAGTGATTAAATATTCGGTATTCGGCCGAATAGTGAAAAATAGGCCGAATACCGAATAGTAACCGAATATTCGTTACATCACTAATAATTATATGTACAGACAAAACTAAACTCAATTTACCCGCCTAAACTGTCTGTAGCGTGGCACTGGATGGCGGGAAAGTAGTTCGGCTGCCCGATGATGTTTTACGTAATTATAGGAGTTTTTTTACCGTTGTAATTATAGGAACCAGTCTTATAGGGGGATCTACTGTATATACAAGGTATGAAATAAAAGACGGGACTGTAGATATGGAGCACTATATACATAACATAATATACAAAGCAGTTTAATTACATACTAGAGATCGTGTAACAAATAAGAATGACTTTATATACAGGACATTGAATTGGAACACAATATACAAGACAAGTACATGTCAAAGGTCAAATACATAAATGGAATTGCATAACAATATGAATAAGATATAAGAGGTGGTATTTATGTTGCTAGAAGGTGCTAGTTGAGACATGGAGAGCTGCAAGTTTACAGTATTTGTTGACCAGCTGATTGAAGTAAACGTAAGTGGAATGTTCGTTGATCAACTCGTTGCCACTACAGGGTCAGTCCTTTCCCCGAGAGTTGATTATAATCTTTAAATGTTGCCGCTCAGCATCGAGCATTGGGCAGATGAAAATATAATGGAAGCTTATAGATACAACCAGATTGAAAATCTTTTATTAAAATAGGATAAATTTACATGGTTATATATGTATATAAAGAGGTAAAAATAATAGAATACATGGCCAAATATTGGCAAGTGATGCTAATGCAGGTATATACAGTTGGGTATTTATTGCAACTACACGAGCATGTAGCCAGCTTTCATAGGAACGTGCACAAAGGGCATCCAGCCTGCTTGAAGCTAATTGATGCAAGACATAGGCTCATAGCCAGCTAGAAAAGATAAGGAAGACCTAATACAAAATGGGAAATAAACAAATTTACTGGTTACAGCATGGTGGCATGGCTTCAGGATGATGATGACAATGACATCCAGCTAGATGTTTTAGATAAATTTCACTGCTATCCTTGATGCATGCACTGACCATCAGTTTCTTCATTATTTTGGCATAATTATGCTGGTTGGCCAGGCATCTAATAGAGGCTACATTGGCAGGATCGTACCCACCCAGGGCACCCACAATAAATGCATCAATGTAGGTGTCATATCCTCTGCTTCAGAAGAAGTTGGCTAGGTCTTGATGATATTTATTTTCTCTTCCCTAGCTCTCACGAAGCATCCACCCCACTTCAAATGGAGTGGCCATGTCTATAACAGTGGCTGATTTTGACTCATCATTGATTATGGTCTGGACGATAGTTTCTCTCAAATTCAGGGATTTGCTAATTAATATACATCCTGGTGTTCTGCTTCTCCATGGCCACTACTAAGCTCTGTAGCATGCTGTTGTGGCATTTAGTGATGGAACCCATGTTGCTCAAGCAGTGACACAATACATGCACTAGTGTTTCATTGTAATGGCTACACTTCCTGCATGTCTTCAGTTGGTTGCCAAATCTCATGTAGCCACAGAGTGCAACCACACTCAATCTTGCTTTGTGGATAAAGTGCCATGCTAAAAACCAGATGTACCTACCTTTCCTTGTAAAATGGTTACTTCCCAAGTAACTGCTGTAACTCTGAATGCTTTTCCTTGCTCCAGTTTGTTCTGGAGACTGGATAGGTGTTTTAGTTAGACTAAATTGTTGAGAGTTTTGGCACAGTTTATCTTTGAGATGCAGTTGCTGTTTAAGGTAAGGAGTGGGGCCTTCACCTGGTGCCCATTGGATCGGCATCAATTTGCGTAATCTTCTTGAGGCTGCCCTTAGATGGATGTTGGTGGGCTCTGAGTCAAACTCCCCCTCAAGTGAGCCATTTAAGTATGTGCTGATGTCCTCTGCTGTTGGGTCCTGCTTAATCCATTTTTTGACTACCTCAGACAGTGCTTTTGTTGCTATATCATTCACCTTTTCATCTTGAGTTGAACAGGTGAAAGGCATGGGTGATCTGCACCACATCTGCTAAGGTGTTGCAGGGGAGGAGGTTAGCTCCTCCCTGGCTGTAGGCTAGAGGACCTCAACACTGGCTCTTTGCAGTAAGCTTAACCATTTCTTCACAAATCTCTGATGGTCTTGTCTATGTTGTCCATGGACTTTTTGGAGGTGATGCCTAGCATCAGGTGAAAGCCTAACTTCAAATTATAAAGGTATTAACGGCATTCACCTTCTGCCAGGGCACCAGCTTGGAGACATGGATTTTCTGTAGTTCATCAGTGATAGTGTTGGCAATAGATGGGCCAGTCCAACATGTGGTGAAACCCATTGAGACACTTTAATGATTATAAAAGTCATCTTGTCCCAAAGCTGGGAGGTACTCACCTTTGATGTTAAATCTGGTGTTGCTGGTGGCGCAGGCCTTACCATCAACCGACAAAGTCACACATTTCTTCGGATTGAACCATAATCCAATCCAGTCTGCCCATTCAGTGATTTTCTGTAGTGGTTGCTCGTCTAGACCTTGCTGTGAGTTGCTTATTAAGGTGACGTCATCTGCATACACCATGATCTTGCATTTTATCCCGTATAGATCATAACCATGATCTAAGGCCATGACCATCCGAATGCCTACTTCCAGGGCAATGTTAAACAATATCAGACTTATCGGACAGCCCTGACAGAACCCAGTAAGGACAGGAATGGGGTCCAGATACCCAGACTTTGTCCTTATACAAGTGGAGTACCCGTCGTAAAGCATACAAATGGCTTCTGTAGAGCTGGGGTGTAATCCCAACCAGCCTAGATTTTTCCATACTTTGATCTTAGCCAAAAGGATGAGAAGTTACTGCACAAATGTGTCGAGATGCCAACATTCTGCTAATACTAGACAAGTCAGTCGATGTGAAAAACAAGAAAACTGTAAATACATTGGTTGTGTGCCTTGGAACCTACAAACCACCCCATCTAGTGCAATTGCAGATTGTAGAGAAGTGCAACAGTGGTATCATTATGAAAAGAAATGTTTGCTCTTAGACTTTTAAATACTTGATCAGTCCCAATTTGAAGAGCAGCTATACACAATTGCAAGCCAAACTGAAGCCTTAACTTGATCAAGAAACTGAAGTCACAGCCTGGATCCAAATCCAGTGTTGTAGGAAGTGATATTTGACAAATTCTTGGAGGCTTTTGGGATCTGTTGGTACCACTCAGTATGCGTTCAAAGCTCCAACTTTATCTAGATGGCAAAAATCCAGCATGGTAGTTCTGGAAAGAACTTGAAGTCCTAGATCCAAATCATTACAAAGCAATAGACAGTATACCTTCTCAATTATGTACATTCTCCAAGAAAGAGGTATCGAATTAAGCAATCACATACTACAGTGCTTTGATCAACAATGAAAACAGAGCAATGTGCAATGATATAATTAATTTATGGAAGTGCTCCACCAAGGAAATACCGATTTTGAATCAGTTGGCATTAAAAGCTCTATAAGTTCCTGCTAGCTGTGCACGTGTGGAGAGAACTTTTTTCCTATCCTTAACCATCTTCTCATGTGCCAAAGGGATCATCACTTACCAGGAAAATTTGGACATTCATATTCACCTCATGTTCAACTCAGCTTATCTATTAGATTTAGCAAAGATATACAGTAAAAATAGTGTTGAGAATCAGGTAAACCAATAAAAATGCAAAGAAAATTTGTGTGCTGAATGCAAGTGTAATTTTTAAAAAGAAATTAGGCAGAATAAAGCAGAAAATTTCTGTCATAAAGCATAATAGCAAAATTTTTATTTTTAAAAGCAGATTGTGGATTGCCTTGCTGATCATATTACTCCACAGAGAGAAAAAGTTTCTAAAGTTCATATTGTGTATACTGTCCAGTTATAGTATAAATATGTAATGTAATTTTTAAGTTAATTCAGGATGGAATAAGTCTACTACTTACAGTCAATCTGTTTGACATTAACAGTCTATCTAGCTTAATACCTTATTCCTGCAGTCACAAGTCTAGAAACAACTGGCAATATTTTTCAATCAATCTAGCCTTTAGAATATGATTTTTGAATTAAGATAAATTCTAGAAGGATGCAAGCAGAGAATGACAATTCTTCTCTTTCACCTTTTACCACCTGTCTTCAATCTCATTCCCATCCTCTCACTTCTTCCACAGCTACACACTACGATTGACAAGTAACTTTCTTTTGAAGAATGTACATCTTTTGTATACCATTTCCTTCAGAAAACACTAATAAAATTTGCATTTTAGGAAGATTTATCCATAATTTTAAAACTTATCACAATATTACATAAGCTGCATTTCTCTTTTAAAAAGTTTGCTTTTTTGAACAACATATTACAGAAAATATTTGATTACCACTAAATAGAATATATAAATATATGAATCAATATTATGGAAAAACGTTGATTTTAATCAATAGATCCATTTACATTTAAATGGAAGTGCATAATGTAGCATACATTAGAATATTTTTAAAAGTTGTTAAGGTTTTTATCTATGTGTCAATATATACTGTATATTAATAAATATAACTTGTATGCAATTTGTATGTTAGTGATTGAAGTTATTAATATAAATACCATTTTAGCAAAAGTGACATTAATTAACAAACTTGTGAATCAAACTCACCAATTTAAACGGATAGAAATCAAACGTTATCTGTAACAATTTCAGTTTATTACAATTATCACATCAGAAACATTTTCGTAATCATAAATAAGGAAACGAAAACAAAACACGTCTACACAGAAATTTCCCATGAGTCATATGCACTCGTAGTTACAAAATAAAAATTAATAATCTATACTAATAAACATTTTATTATTATCACTTATTACGAAATTTTAATTAATCTGTATTAACTTATTTTGAATCGATATGTTTACTTATATTTAAATTATTATTTTTTTCCTCACGAGAGGTGGCGGAAGTCAGTAAAGATATGAGCAATGTTGCCAGAGTATAGTGAGAGTAATGAAGCGAGAAATCTAGTTCGCTTCATATCTAGCGGAAGTGGAACTGTTAGAACTGTTCCGAAGGAACGGTTTCCCGGAATTGCTTAGAATCAACAAATAGAAAACATTTTTACTTTGTATATAGAGATAAAACATTAAATGACATTTTTCTCAAAAATGGATTTTATCTATCAATCAATCAGTGTATTGCGTGTTTAATTCAAGGACTAGCAGTGTTTAAAAGAAGTATTTTACTTCTTTGGTTTTCTGTGTTTTTCAAACACAGAAAACCTTCAATTTTTTTAATTCATAATTTATTCAGTCTTGTATATTTTTTTTTACCAGAAGTNGCGTCGGTTATCCGGAACGTCGATTATCCGAAAGCATTCCAGTCGGCTAATTTAAATTTTCGCTAGTGCTGTGGCGCTGCAATCTGTGGCTATAACTTGGGCTATGCCAATATTTTTGGGGGTTGGTGTGTGTGTTTTAGCTGGCAGCACTGGCACTTTTGTGTGGTGTTTTTCTGAGGATTGTGTGTCGTGCTGAATCGAACGTTTTCGATACTAGATCAACTTCTAAAGTGTATTTTTTTGGTTTTTATATTTTTCAATATATTTATTTTTGTTTGTACAAAATAAAAAAATAATTTTTAACGATACAATAGCCACGATTATTATTTTAAAAAGTTTTCGTTAGGCTTAACATCGACGAAAATTCAACGCTAAGTGACACGCAACAGAGAAAATTTTCAACATGGGATAGGTTAATATATTTTTTCGTACATAATCGGATATCCGAACAACCCCAGTCCCCAATTGATTCGGATAAACGACGCTCTACTGTATATGTAAGTAGTTACAAGATGTCATTTCGTCATATACTGTATTTCATTGGAAATAGACGCATAAGCAATGTCTGACATTGTAAAATTTTCGAAAGAAAACATTTGCGTCTCTTGCTCTATCACTTCAAAAGTGACTACAACGCAACGGAGGTTCACGATCTCATCTGCAAGGCATTTGACGAGGATACAGTCAACATGCATGTCTGCTACAATTGATTCAAAAAATTCAAAGATGGAGATTTCTCATTTTAAGAAGTATCCCATTCAAGCAGCGATTCCACTATTGATGATGCATTCTCCATCAACTCGTAGACGATAATCCACGATTGACCACCAGAGAATTAGCACAACTTGGGTGTTCCATATCTTTATAAATTTAAAATACTAAAACTTATTTTATTATTTCTAAAAACTTGTAGAACATTTTCATTTAGTTCGAGTTCAAATCCAGATAAAGAGTTCTCTATTCTGTGAAAAGCGTATTCATAAAAGTAAAGAATGAAAATTGCGTTGATAGTTCTGACTGGAACTGTCTCAACACTGGATGTAGAACTGTTCTTAGTATTTTCACGTCCTAAACGGTTTCAACCTGTAACTGTTACAAAGTTTTTTACAGAAATCTATGGCTTATTACCACAGACTGCATCGTGATTGAACGATTCATGTACTGTACTGTACATGAAATTGAAAGACATATTTATGGAGTGAACTTCTGATGACTCTTGATTTTCAGATGTATTTGAATTTAGAATTATAACTATATACATATAATAATATTGTTATGCTAAACAGAGACTCACCCTCAGCCTCTCCGTAGAATTCAGTTAGTAAACTGACTAGAATCAACATATCTAGTTATAATTCTTAATTTATATACTCTGAAAGCTAAGATCCACCAGTAATCTGGATGTGTAACTGGAAATGGTGTGAGAATGAACGCCAGATATGCTTGAAACAATTTTTAAATTTATATTTTCTTTAAGAATTTCTAAAGTATTAATTTAAAATTTAAAGTACTCGATTGCTTGCTGTTCTCACAATTAGTTGTAAGTCCTTCGGAATTAGCATATGGTTGCTATTGAGAACAATCACACAGGAACACTTCTTTTTGATGAAAAAAGTAGGTTTATTTTCTATAATTTAGAACGGATATGCATTTCTGGCTTTATGCCCCCTAATTAAGTATATCGGTAAAAAAGTAAAAAAGTAATTAAAAAATATAATACATTTAGGCTCATGTTGTCTAATCTAGATCTAATTTTCGTACAAATGGCAGCTGCATTAGAAAAAGCTCTCTTGGAGTCAATGCTAGTTGGACGTCTCTCACTATAACCTTGAAAATCTTTTTAACATACGTTCCTTGTACTTTTTGCTCTAAGAAATACTTCATTTCTTTCTTAACTATATCTTTCACACTTTTAAACTTACTTATATTACTGTTCTCGGTGTCTACGCTCGTTTTATATTTAATGACTAAGTCTAATTTTCCTTTCATTGTTAAATTTGAATTTTCTATTGTGCACTTTGTTCTCGTTGGACGTGAGAAGTTGGTGTGGTAAGCAGTGAACACCTATCACTAGAATCTGAGTCTGAACTAATTTAGTGACAACATCAACTCATGATTCGTTTTCATTTTCTGATAAGTGCTTGATTATTTCTACAATCCTATTCAAAATTATATTTTTGTTAACATTATTGGATATTTCGTGTGACTTATATTTCTTCAATTTTTCTGGATTATTTTCCTGTATTATACTCTAAAAACGGGTCTTGATTTTGAAGTATAATACAGGGAATAAAGTTATTAAAAAACTAGCATCATCTGCCCTATGGTATGGAGGAGACAAAAAAGAAATTTATTTTCCTAAAATTCCCACGGAAAATACCCGTGGGAATTTTAGAAAAATAAATATCGGGTTAATTAAGAGGTACTGGTAAAAAATTAATTACCTGTAAATTTACCGGAGTGTAATTTTCCTGATTTACCGTTATACCGGTAATGCAATCACTAATTACGAGCAATTATTTATTATTTTATTGTGACATCGTCATAATAACGGGCTGCAATTTTTAATCATATTTGTAATTTATTTAATTTAAAATATATGCTCTTCACCTCAAATCAGTAGCGGCTTGTCCCTCTACATCACATTTTTCCTTTAACAATAGAGTGGTGTCGGTCATCTATCTAATACCTTACAGGTGAACATTTTTGAATTGAAATAACGTGACTTCCGATGCAAACCGGAAATTTATAAATAATTAATCGTGGCCTCCTGCCCGTACGGTTTCCATATCTGATCTCATTTGTCATCTATCTAACTCCATTCTTGAGATTACGGAAAGACAGCAAGACGGACGACAGTTGGAGTTTATAGGACTACAGTTTTTTCAAATTGCAAATTAGGAAATATGATTAACAATTGTAGCTTGTCATTGTGACGATGTCACAGTAAATAATTTCTTGTTATTTAAATATGTAGATTTCAGTTTTTCCAAAATTATTTTTTACTTTCCGGCAGGCTTATCAAAACAAAGTGTTTTTGAGGTTTTGATAAACGTGAGACTGTTGTCAAATAGCTATGTTGGGTTCATATTTATTTAAACCTTTAAAATACAGTCATACCTCCTCTTACGCTACTCCGACTTACGCGAACCCGGAGTTACGCGATTTTCAAATCTCGTGGATTCGTCTTTTGTTTGAGCGGCACGCAGCTCTCGATTACTCACTCCCCCCACACTATTGTCCAGCTTACATGTTCGGACGTGTCGCGCGGAATCGACGCATAGCTACAATTTATTTTGTGAAATTTATTTCTGTTTGTTATATCTACGGAGACTTGAGAGACTGTATGTGGTGATTTCTTGTAACCGTGAATGAACCAAATGGCGAGATAAGATTAACGAGAACATTTATTAGCTTACATACATCCTACTTGGATTTTACACAAAGGCATCTGCAATCGTGAACAATTGACGAAAAAAGTATACATTTATCAGATAATAAACAAAGACTCATTTTGTAAACAATTTACCTTTTGTATATACAACTGACAAGATTACCTTTCAAATTATAAACAGACTCGATCCCAAGCGGTCTTTTGATCGTCGGACATACAAAAGAAATGAACAGATGGCGCCTAACTTAAGCGCGGTTTACAATAACGAATACGATTAATCTTAACACTCTACTATGTCATCCAAACGAAGTAGAACTGATTCTTCTGCATCAAACAAGAAAAGAAAAACTTTATCTTTGGAATGTAAAGTTAACATTATTAAAGACTTTGATACAAAAATGAAAATTTGTGAATTGGCAAAGAAGTTTGATCTACCGAAATCGATGGTCAGAACAATTATAAAAGGTAAAGAAAAAATTCTCGAAGCTGTGAAAAATGCTCAATCTTTAAATTCAAGCATCATTCGTAAAGTTCACAGTATTATCTCTGAGATGGAAACAATGTTAAAATCATTATGTGATAATCAAGTAAATGTGAAAAATTGTATAATAATGTAAATTGTTATACATATGTATTATCTAAGATTTTATTAAACATTTTTTTCTAAATTATTGTTTTCTTTAGTCTCCGGTCCCAATTAAAAATAATTTGTATGTATTTATATGCAAAATTATACCCCGACTTACGCGAATTCGACTTACGCGGTTATCGCTCGGTCACACCTATCGCGTAAGTCCGGGGTATGACTGTACTGTAACAAGTCTTATATTTTTATGGAATAAAAAATTTATTTGTCAAATTTTATTATTTAAAAAATTTAACATAGTTTTAAACTCTGCTCTGTTTGTATGTGAAAAGTACACACTCGATTTCTGAGATCTTCTAGATCCACCATACTCAACCTGCGGTCCGCTGAGCTTTTGTGAGTGGCCCGGACGTGAAAGAGAGCGGAAAATAATTACGCTGACTTCTGGAAATAATTACCATTTCTGAAAAGTAGTGCCCGATCAATATAAGACTG